GTCTCTGTGCACACTCAGAGGAGAGGGCAGCATCCATTCCACATTCTCTAATCCTTCAGAATCTTTAAGCATTTGTTTTCGTTAGGCATCAATGTTTTTATGTAGTATAAAACAACATATATAAGAAATGATTAAAAATATAAAACACAATTAGCTTGAACTAAAGGTTACGTAAACCAAAGTACATTATAAACTCAAATATACTACACAACATAGGAGCCCCTGGTGGCGCAGTGGGTTAAACCTGTGCCGGCAGGACTGAAGACTGACAGGTCGCAGGTTCGAATCCGGGGAGAGGCGGATGAGCTCCCTCTATCAGCTCCAGCTCCTCATGCGAGGACATGAGAGAAGCCTCCCACAAGGATGATATAAACATCAAATCATCCAGGCGTCCCCTGGGCAATGTCCTTGCAGACGGTCAATTCTCTCACACCAGGAGTCACTCCTGACACGACAACCCCCCCCCCCCAAAAAACAAAAAAAACACCCAAAATAAATGAGGGAACACTGTAAGTTTGGAAACTAAATAGGTCTGAGCCTAGTTAAAACTTGAATGGGAAAACACCAACAAATATCTGAAATCACTAAGCAGAACTGAAAAATGACTTGCCTGAAAGCCTAGAGAGCAGCTTCCAGACAGAGCTAGATTTATAAATAGTCTGACTCAGGATAAGGCTATTCCCTGCATTCATATCTTCTCCAGCTGACTAGGGCTTAACCTAGAGATTGGTCTACAGCAGTGGTTCCCAACTTTTTTTTTGACCAGGGATCACTTTGACTAGGGACCACCCTCCAACATTAGTACAATAAGGGTTGCCAATCAGTTTTTGGTCAACTTTAGATTTGGTTTGGTTATTTGGGGTACTGATTCAGAAAATTGCATTGGCTAGACCACATCAGCTCTAGTTTCTGATACAGAACATATGCCATCCAATAGTTGCCATCCGTTGTCCACAGAAAAGCATATTTAATAAGCCTCAGCACTATGAGAGGGATTGTGTGAGACCAGTTGCTCTTTTTGCTGCATGGTTTTGAGGCAACGGTGTAGTAATGGTGAGGCCGCAGACCATCTGCTCACCCACAGAAAACCATAATTATCATAGAATCATAGAATCATAGAGTTGGAAGAGACCTCATGGGCCATCCAGTCCAACCCCCTGCCAAGAAGCAGGAATATTGCATTCAAATCATCCCTGACAGATGGTCATCCAGCCTCTGTTTAAAAGCTTCCAAAGAAGGAGCCTCCACCACACTCCAGGGCAGAGAGTTCCACTGCTGAATGGCTCTCACAGTCAGGAAGTTCTTCCTCATGTTCAGATGGAATCTCCTCTCTCCTCATATTTAATAATCTAGATCTGATGTGGTAATAGTAATCTTTCATTGGTAGTCAGCCTCTGCCCTCCGGAGACCAGTTGTTCTGTTGCTGTGTGGTTTCGAGGCAGCGGTGTAGTAATGGTGTGGCCACAGACCATATTTTCATTCTTGGGGACCACTGGTGGTCCACGGACCATATGTTGGGAACTCTGGTCTACAGCAAGCCTGTACAACATATGGCCTACAGGCCAGATATGGCCTGCAAAACCTTCCCTGTGGTCCATGTGAGCTCAGGCTACTCCCTCATGCTTTTTTTTTTGTTGTTGTCTCAGGAGCAACGAGAAACTGCAAGTCGCTTCTGGTGTGAGAGAATTGGCTGTCTGCAAGGACATTGCCCAGGGGACGCCCAGATGTTTTGATGTGTTACCATCCTTGTGGGAGGCTTCTCTTATGCCCCCCGCATGAGGAGCTGGAGCTGACAGAGGGAGCTCATCCACGCTCTCCCCGGATTCGAACCTGCAACCTGTCTGTCTTCAGTCCTGCCGATAAAGGGGTTTAACCCACTGCACCACTGGGAGCTCCATTCTCTCATACTGTTTCCCTGAGAATGGTGGTGTGGGGAAGGGGAAGGTGTAGTCCACCAAAGGGTTTGTGGAAAACCTTGGCCCTTTACAACAGCCAAGTTGTGCAGGCCTGATCTACAGAATTCAGCTTTTCTCGTGGCATCTGTATCAGGACATATCTGAACAGTCAGCCATGGCAGACCTCTTGAAACTCTTCCAGCAAATTATTATTTATTATTTATTTACTTCATTTATATACCGCTTTTCTCGGCCCTCAAGCGACTCAAAGTGGTTAACAACAGCAAAATTCAATGCAAAACATCATAAAACGATTATGGGACAGTTAAAACAATAGCATCATCAACAATTAAACATCAATATAACAATCATTAGCATCTCATCAGTAAAATCAGAATCCAATCTCATCATCCATTAATCCGTGTTTCTATATTCATACACTGCTTAATCGAATGCTTGTTTGAACAGCCAGGTCTTCACTTTCCTCTGAAACGCCAATAGGGATGGGGCCGATCTGATATCTATAGGAAGGGCATTCCACAGCCGAGGGGCCACCACTGAGAAAGCCCTGTCTCTCTTTCCCGCCAGGTGCGCCTGGCGCAGGCGGGACTGAGAGCAGGGCCTCCCCAGATGATCTTAATGTCCTAGTTGGTTCATAGGAGGAGATGCGTTCGGAGAGGTAAGTAGAGCCAGAACCGTTTAGGGTTACAAATTATCTAGTAACATACAGGTTACTTTCATTTTGTAAGTCTTCAAGGTTCAAACAAAGCCACCCTGATGTTCAAAGAGACTTCAGGGAGAGGGATAAGATGTAGCAACCATGACAAATTGTCACAGATCTCTCATACCTTTGATTTCTCCAGCTCGTGCTTTTTTGTAAAGGCCTTTCACGTCTCTGCTCTCGCAGATATTCAGAGGTGCATCTACAAAGATTTCAAAGAAAGGGAGTCCAGCAATTTCATGAATCTTACGTGCATTCTGGCGATCCTGTGTAAGGGAAAGAAGTATGAGCATTGTTGGAAAAGGGAAATCCCTCTCAGTTGTGTTTTGAAGCTTAAAGGAACCATCCAAAGAAAGTTAAGTTATACGATTCAGCACCTTGGATAGCTCCTTTAAAGTCCTAAGGGCCCACTCACACAACACAATGATTGCATTACTATTCCATTGTAAATGCCATGGTTCCATCCTATGGGATCCTGGGGTTTGTAGTTTAGGGAGTAGTGGACTGACCTAACCTCTACAATTTATTATTATTTATTTATTTCATACACTTTTACCCTGCCCTTCTCCCCCCAAGAGGGGAATCAGGGCAGCCTCACATAAGCACTATACGATGCTATCATCATATAAATAATAAACAATTACATTAAAACGTTAAAACAATTCATTAAAACAGTAGATTAGTCACGCCAGTTAAAACCAATTCCAAGTCTGGGGATTAAATCAATGTTGCAGTATCCAAGTCTTCTTTCCAATTGCTGCTATCCACTAATTCATTGGTTCTCAACCTGGGGTCCCCAGATGTTTTTGGGCTTCAACTCCCAGAAATCCTAACAGCTGGTAAACTGGCTGGGATTTCTGGGAGTTGTAGGCCAAAGACATCTGGGGACCCCAGGTTGAGAACCACTGCACTAACTGAACACCTGGTCCCAAAGCCAAATCTTCAATTTTCTTCTAAAGGACAGGAGGGAGGTGGCCAACCTGATGTCCCTGGAAAGAGAGTTCCATAGATGGGGGGGGGGGGGGGGGTTACTGCTGAAAAGGCCCTGTCTCTCGTCCCCCACCAACCGCATTTGCAACGGTGGTGGGATCGAGAGCAAGGCCTCTCCTGAAGATCTTAAAACCTGGCTCTTCCGCTGCGCCTTTCGCGAGTAGGTGCACAACATGACACTATTGCTCCCCTCAATGCTTCTGTCACTGGAGTACACGCTCCCCAAATGGGAAGTTAAGTTTCACAACCCAGTGTGTCTTTATGAGTTCCCCGTCAATAACCTGCTCCTATTTTTATCTCATTAGAGCAGTGTTTCTCAACCTGGGGGTCAGGACCCCTGAGGGGGTCATGAGGGGTTGTCAAAGGGGTCGCCAAAGACCATCAGAAAACGTAGTATTTTCTGTTGGTCATTGGGATTCTGTGTGGGAAGTTTGACTCAATTCTATTGTTGGTCGAATACAGAATGCTCTTTGATTGTAGGTGAACTATAAATCCCAACAACTACAACTCCCAAATGTAAAGGTCTATTTTCCCCAGACTCCACTGGTGTTCACATTTGGGCATATTGAGTATTCGTACCAAGTTTGGTCCAGATCCATCATTGCATGAATCCACAGCACTCCTCTGGATATAGGTGAACTACAACTCCCAAACTCAAGGTCAATGCCCACGAAACCCTTCCACTGTTTTCTATTGGTCATGGGAGTTCTGTGTGCCAAGTTCAGTTTAAATCCATTGTTGGTGGAGTTCAGAATGCTCTTTGATTATAGGTGAACTATACATCCCAGCAACTACAACTCCCAAATTACAAAATCAATCCTCCCCCCAACCCCACTAGCATCCACATTTGGGCATATTGGGTATTTCTGCTCAGTTTAGTCCAGTGAATGAAAATCCATCCTGCATATCAGATATTTACATTATGATTTATGACAGTAGTAAAATGACAAGTATCAAGTAGCAACGAAAACAATATTATGGTTGGGGGTCACCACAACACAGGAAACTGCATTAAGGCATTAGCAAGGTTGAGAACCACTGCATTAGAGTTTTTAACATTTTATCCTGTACATGAGGCCCGCCCACTGTTACTGCGACTTTGTTTATTGTAATGTAATTTTGCTAATGTATTTTTTATTTAATTTTGATGATGTTGTTTGTTGTTTATATTTTGGTTTTATTTCAATGTAATATGTTCTCCGGGCTTGGCCCCATGTAAGCCACTGAGAGTCCCCATTGGGGAGATGATGGCGAGGTATAAATAAAGATTATTATTATTATTATTATTATTATTATTATTATTATTATTATTATTATCATCAAACTTCGTAATAGTTCATAACAGGAGATATGTTTGGACAGGTAATCTGGGCCAGAACCATTTAGGGCAGGGGTCCACAAACTTTTTAAGCAGAGGGCCAGGTCACAGTCCCTCAAACTGTTGGAGGGCTGGACTATAATTTGAAAAAAACATGAATGAATTCCTATGTACACTTAAAAACAATACAGTAATTAAAATGAAGTACAATTTTAACAAGTATAAACTTATTAGTATTTCAATGGGAAATGCTTTTGGGTGATGAGATAGGATTGTTGTTGTTGTTATTGTGTGCTTTCAAGTTGTTTCAGACTTAGGTTGACTCTGAGCGAGGGCCAGGTAAATGACCTTGGAGGGCCATATCTGGGCCCGGGCCATAGTTTGAGGACCCCTTGTTTAGGGATTTAAAGGTTAAAACCAGCACTTTGAATTGTGCTCGGAAGCTGATAGGCAACCAGTGGAGCTGGTTGGAGTTGTATGCTCCCTATATGTCGCTCCGGTGAGCAACCTGGCTGCCAACCGTTGGACTAGTTGAAGCTTCTGGGCAGTCTTCAAAGGCAGCCCCACGTAGAGTGCGTTGCAGTAGTCTATTTGGGATGTAACAAGAGCGTGGACCACCGTAGCCAATCTCAACTCTTGTTCACTACATCCAGAAAAGAACAAATACTACACGGTAAACTACTCTATGTATAACTAGAAGATTTTTAAAACCAGGTTCAGTAATATAGAAAAGTGCTAAATCCCCCAAAAGAAATATTAAATCCTTTCCTAGTGCATGAACAAACTCTGTACATGTGTGTGTGTGAATGAGTGAGTGTATGTGTGTGTATGTATGTATAAAAAAACAGATTTCCACATACTCACATAAATGTGAATTTTGACCCTACTATAGTAAAAACAAAAAACAAACCATAACTATAGAAACCCTATCCATAGTTTCACTAATCTAAGCTTAGGTAATGGTCTCGTGAGGAATTTGCTACATTCTCCAGGACTTTCTATAGTATGCTTCCCCCAGAAGTTACTGTACAGATGTGTTGGAAGAGCCAGCATATTTCTAGAGAAAATATCTCAAAATCCTCTTAATACAATGTTATGCTATGCTGGGACTGGAAGTGAGGTAATTCAAAGACTTTCAACTGTATGCATGATTTCTCACAACCACAGCCCGGCCAGGAACATATCTCCATGGCTTCAGGGGTTTTACCGTATTATACCGAAATTACTAAATAGAAAACATGACATTTACTTGACTCTGACCTGCATCTTCATAAAAGGATAGATATTTCAAAAAAGTAATATGTTCTCCTAAAAAGTGCATATTAGTGAAGGCATTTGTTTTTTAAAAAAGAGGATGGTCAAAAGCAGACTAGTCTTGTCAGTCTTACCTTTGCAAAAGGAGAAATGAAGCTAGTTATGCAAACCAAGCCAGCATCAGCAAACAGCCTAGCAACCTCAGCAATACGGCGGATATTTTCTTCTCGGTCATCAGCAGAGAACCCTAGATTTTTGTTGAGACCATGGCGGATGTTATCTCCATCAAGAGAGTAGCACGGGATGCCGTGAGCCACAAGGTATTCTTCAAGTGCAAACCCAATGGTTGTCTTGCCAGCACCAGAAAGACCTGAGAATTATAGGAAGCATATACTTTAAAACAATTCTGTAATGTTTCAAATAAATACCACACCAGTGACAAATATAGTAAATACAATGTAACAGGCTATAATTCCTAATAATAATCATCATCGTCGTCGTCGTCAAACTACTCTGAGACTTCTGAATGCAGTTTATTCTAATTTCAATTACAGGCTGTAATAGATTCTAACCTTTGCCAGCTAGGCCGAAGCCTGAGAGTCAGTGGGCTGGGTCTCCATCTTAGGATAGGCAAGGAGGCAGGGGAGGAGTCAGCCAACTCCTGATTGGTTTAAGCACCAAGGGGAGGAGTTGGGTGAGAGTGAAAAAGGCTGTCACTTCTGACAGGAGAGGGAGATGGATTCTAACACACAGAGAGAAGGGTAACAGAGCAGGGAGAAGGATTTTAACAGAGACAGGGAGAAGGAAGCTTTTGAGTGAGTGGTTCTGATAGGGAATACAGACAGGGACAAGGGCTTCAGCAGAGCTGTACTTGGATAGTCAATGAGAAGACTTGTCAGCTTGTATTTAGGAGATAATACAAGAAGGCTTATTGCCCTATAGGGAGAGTAGACTGGAGAAAGTCTGGTTACTCTGTAAGACAGTCAGGGGGACTGTTCTTAGAAACACTCAAAGGGTTGAATAGTGTGATGAAGGGAACTCACTTCAAATGAAAGCTACTCCTTTGGTAGAAACTTTATGTCTAGTAAGCCTAAGCCTCAGTAACAACAATACGCCTGTACACCTCTCATTTTATGAGTTGTCATCTTCTTAAAGTTCAATAAACCTGTTATTAGTTCATCATTAACTGGTGTCTGCCTCGGTCTGTCATACTTAGTGAAACCAAGTCAACCTAATTCTCTTTTATAGTCCAGTCAGCAAGCAAAGGAGCCCACAAAGAAGAACCAGAAGCCTGGGTGCATATTACCTCAAACACATTCACACCTTTGTTTCCTCAAACAATAAAATTGAGGTGGTGGTGGCAAAAATCTACCAGTATCATCGGTCTCTCACATCATTAGTCATTCCCTCACTCAAATTCCTGTCACACAGGTGCGAGTAGAGACACCTCGCCTTTCGTTCCTTATTACATTGGTGGCAGCGATGGGATAGAAAGGTTTCCCCCCTGTCACAGGTGTGTGAAGAGACCCCTCGTCTCGCGTTCTTCCTTACATTGGTGGCAGTGGTGGGATAGAAAGGTTCCCCCCGTCACACATGCGTTAAGGGACCCCTTGTTCCTTAATCTTGTTTACACAGGCTATTACCAAATGTTGCTCTTAAATCCTAGGTTGTTTAAAACTAAAAACAGCTTTCTAGGTATTGTTCTTACATGAAGGAAAAGAAAGGGACAACGTTGACATCACTGAAACTAATAACGCTAACGGCATTATTAATAACTGCGCTCCATGCAGTCATGCTGGCCACATGACCTTGGAGGTATCTATGGACAACACCAGCTCTTCGGCTTAGAAATGGAGATGAGCACCAACCCCCAGAGTCAGACATGACTGGACTTAATGTCAGGGGAAAATCTTTACCTTTACCTAATAACGCTAATAACAATTAAGTCTAAATTGTCAGTGTCCATTTTAATTCTGTGATTTAATGGTAACAACAATGAATTATTTCAAATACTTATGGGCACCTCTGAGGCCATGAGAAATAATGCCAAACTATGTTTTATAATTATGTACATAATTTTCCAGGAGCCCCCGGTGGCGCAGTGGGTTAAAGCACTGAGCTGCTGAGCTTGTTGATCGAAAGGTCGCAGGTTCGATTCCGGGGAGCGGCATGAGCTTCCGCTGTCAGCCCTAGCTTCTGCCAACCTAGCAGTTCGAAAACATGCAAATGTGAGTAGATCAATAGGTACCGCTCCGGCGGGAAGGTAACGGCGCTCCATGCAGTCATGCCGGCCACATGACCTTGGAGGTGTCTACGGACAACGCTGGCTCTTCGGCTTAGAAATGGAGATGAGCACCACACCCCAGAGTCAGACATGACTGGACGTAATGTCAGGGGACTACCTTTACCTTTACCTTACATAATTTTCAGCTTTTGAGATCCAACATCTCTGTGGTGAAATGTAAATTTTAACCTACAGTTATGTATAATTATAGATAAGTGTTTAAAAGGGCAAGTATTTAAAATAGCATAACTGGGGGGGGGGGATGGTAGCCAGCTCAGCTCACTCTGAGCTGGGTTGCCATGGAAAAAGGGGAGGAGCCAACTGCCACTTGGCAGGGCAGCCATTTTAAAACAGTCAGTCTGTAGTCAGCGAACTACAGGGAAGGCTGGTTCTACTGTGTTGAGAACCAGGAAGGTAGTCTGTAGTCTAAGAACTGCAGGGAAGGCTAGTTCTACTGTAGTGAGAACCAGGAAAGCAGTCTGTAGTCAGAAAACTACAGGAAAAGGCTGATTCTACTTTGTTGAGAATCAGGGAGGGTTATGCTTTTAGCCTGTGAGGTTTAGATAGGCCAGGTTGACTTATTTATATTAGTAGTTAGTGTATGAGCAAAAAAGGGGGAGAGAAACCTAATAAGCATCTTTACTGCAACAGAAATAACATAAGGAAAGAATAAGCAAGTACCTGAAGTAATCTGTTAAGGAAAGAAACACAGTTTGAAGAAAAATAAGTTTAAAACCTGACTAGTAGAAGGAACAGTCCTCTTAAGAGTTGTTTTATGAAAAGTTATAAATGTAACCACTGAAGAAATGTGCCTCTAGGAGTTAAGAAACATTGAAACCATCAAGCTTCTTCTCTACTTCAATAAACTTGTTACAGTTTCTCTTAAAGCCAAGTCTCTGTTTCGAATACTTTCAAGTCAAGCCATGCTACACATTGAAGAAAGACCAACAAAATATTACAAGCGATTAGCTGTATTATCAATTTAGTAAATACATTAGTAGTAGGAGACCCTGATAAATCAGTGATGTCCCTACTGCTGCTTCTGGTGGTCTTCAGTCTTGCTGGCTCAAGGGTTTAACCCATTGCACCACCAAAGGCTCCTAACATAATAATAAAAAATATTTATATTCCGCCCTCTCTCCCTGAGGGAACTAATAGGAAATATGTGGTCTTTCGGGTGTTACTGTTCTGTACCTCTTGGCATTCCTCATTCCCCAGAATAAGTCTCTTACTCCTAATACGTTAATAGCATTTACTCCATGTGTTTATTTGCTGGGATAATCAGGACTATAATACCTGTAAGCCATACTGTACAGCCACGAAATCCGCCTCTTGTGCCCACAACTTGTCCTCTCTTACTTCTGCTGACGTGATGGGCCTGGTATACCACATTAGTAGACCTATGGAGATTCTAAGGACACAGAGAAAAATACATCAAACAGTTGTACTTTGATTGATATCAAACACAGAGAGTATAGTAGTTTGAATGTATAATAAAAGAGCAGCACCAACACATCAGATAACACACAATGCCCTCCACTTTACTTCTTTGAATCAATAAGTACTTAGCTAAGAAAAGCACTATAGTATAAAGGTTTAATATTACAGCATTCAATAACCATAAAGAACGACAAAGAATCTTAAATAAAGGAGTATAGTGCTGTTTAAGATGCTTGCAAGCTGATCTTATAGCCACGAATACAAATGGAACACACTATCTGTTTCAATCATTTACTTTGTATGAATTTTCAGATTGCCCAAGCTAAGTCCACACTCTTAGAAAACATATTTGCTAGGGGAAAAACTCATTTAATATCATGGGAGTTATATACATGAATCTGTTCCGTAAATGGTCAAAGTGCTTAACAAACTTGATCGGGGCTTTAGCACAGCTGGTAAATCACCAGCAATTTTAAGATCTACCAACCAAAAGGTTGAAAGTTTGAAGCCCCGGGTCGGCGTGAGCTCCCGACTGTCAGCCCTGCTCACTGTTTACCTAAGCAATTCAAAAACAGCTTACAGCTGTGATTAAAGAAATTAGGTACCACTAATACGAGGGAGGTATTTTATGACACCATAAAGAAAAAGATCAAAGAATGCCAGTGACCAAAAGGAAGGAGTAAGTCCTGATGGTTCTTTGTCATAGAGGATGGAGCAACAGCAGCCCCCTGTGGCTGGCAACTTCCAAAGGCGCTGACAAGCTGGATGTTCAACTAGGTGAATGTCAACACAACACAATATACCTCCTTTCTTTTCTGTCTGTGTTTGTCCTGTCCAAAAAAACAACATTGAATGTTTGCCATGTATGTGTACTGTGATCCACCCTGAGTCCCCTTCGGGGTGAGAAGGGCAGAATATAAATAGATATAAAGAAAGGGTTGAACCAGCATATATAAGTTCCTGAAACTTTAATAGAGATCATCTAAGACACACCCCTCATCCCTGCTCATGCTCCCAAGAAGCTGGCCTTTAGAGATTCTGTACATACTCAAGAATTGTTTAGTTGTGCACACTACTAGAATTCTTCAGCTTGCAGGAAATTCCAACACAAGCCCAACATCCCTTTGGACCTATTCTTTATTCATATTTAGTTGAATCATTCTTACAGAAATAAACTCTCTGTGACTTTTGTGCTGAATCACATAACTCCTCCATTCCTTCAAAGCAATCTGTGCAATATTGAGATTCCTAACTGACAGACATATGAACAGTATTTTTACAATTGTGCAGGTTGAGTAAGCCTGTGGTCTTCATAAACGTTTTGATTTTTCACCATAAAAACTGTCAAAGACCATACTTGTTTGGAATTTAAGTACATGCTTGGAGGTCCTGAATACAATCAGCTACCAACAACTAAAAATGTAAAATAGATAGAAGAACACTTATTCAAAATACTCAGGACCAGAAACATTCTGGATTTTTACTGGAATTTGGAATACCTGGATTTTCATTTATGTATATCTTGGACATCTTGGGGCCCAAGTCTAATCATGATCTGGAAAATAAAGTAACGAGAAAGTGTTGGTTTCTAATATATGTAATTTCTTTATGCTTGTGTTGATGTAGAGATTGTCTGGTTGGCCTACTCTGGAGCATGCAACATAGAATTGTCCTTGTTTAGGGGTCCCTTTCAAGTCTATGATACTATATCTGTGTGTGAGAGAGTCATATATATCTCTCTATATCTATGGCTGGATGGCTCTTTGTCATGAGGGCTTTGATTACGTTTTCTTGCCCTGGTAAAGGAAGTTGGGCTGGATGGCCTTAAGTATTTTCTGTTGGTCATGGGGGTTCTGTGTGGGAGGTTTGTCCCAATTCTGTCATTAGTGGGGCTCAGAACGCTCTTTGATTGAAGGTGAACTATAAATCCCAGTAACTACAACTCCCTAATGTCAAGGTCTATTTCCCCCAACTCCATCTGTGTTTATATTTGGGCATATTGAGTATTTGTGCCAAGTTTGGTCCAGATCCATCATTGTTTGAGTCCACAGTGCTCTCTGGATGTAGGTGAACTACAACTCCAAAACTCAAGGTCAATGCCCACCAAACCTTTCAGTATTTTCTGTTGGTCATGGGAGTTCTGTGTGCCAAGTTTGGTTCAATTCCATTGTTGGTGGAGTTCAGAATGCTCTTTGATTTTAGGTGAACTATAAATCCCAGCAACTACAACTCCCAAATGACAAAATCATAATTTTTTGAGTGATGGTCACTCCTTGTGTAGTGAGACGTTTTGTTGCCAAATTTGGTGTGATTTCGTTCATTGGTTCTTTTGTTTTTAAGGTACTCATTATGCACAGAGCATTTATATATATATAGATATAGCCTGAATGTATTATATACATTTTCCATAATATTGTTTATGAAATATTGTTTATAAAAGTGTGTACATTGAACTGTCACAAAGCAAAAGGGTCACTCAATACTCAAACACAGGGGAACTCCAGACTACACTCTCAACAAAGGATTCCCTCAGGCAGTAACAAGCCACACCTAAAAACTGCCAGGTCATCAAATGCTAATCAAGGTAGCCAATTGAAACATTCACACCTGTCTCCAACAGACAAGAGTTCTTTCTCCCACTCTGGATTTTCCACAGATATATAAACCCAATTTTCCTGGTTTCCAACAGACTTCACAACCTCTGCCATAGATGCAGGTGAAACATCAGGTGAGAATGCTTCTAGAATACAGCCCGAAAAACATACAACAGCCCAGTGACTCCAGCCATCAAAGCTTTTGATAATACAAAGGGGTCACTATCTCAGCCATCTGTGTAGCCAATTTTGGAGCATTTTGGATTTCAGATAAGGGATGGTCAACTCATAATCAAAATCCTAATCTCTACCAAAAACATAATGCATCATTTAATTTTTGAGATAGAAACATATTAAATATCCCAGTTTTAAATTCTAAGCATAACTTCATTATGAATATGTTCCTTTTTAATGCAGAAAATACCCGCATTGCAAAATATGACATTTCTGGAAAGCTGACAACAAGCAAATTGCCTTTATAAATATATGATCACAGTGCAGTTTATCAGATTTATAAAATAATATTTATGCATATTAATAATGGCCTACATTATGACTGAAATTATTTTAGAGAGGAAACATTCTGTCTCAGAAGAGGACAGTGGACAAGATGTTCCATGTGGAAGTTTACAGCCCTTAAATAATGGCGGTCCATATTTGAACAGTGTACAACTGATTCCAGCCTTACTCCTCAACCTTTCCAATGCCAGTGGGCCTCCTTACAGTCTAAAAATGAGCAATCCGACCTGGTGGTATGGAACACCCTGCATAATCACTCATTGATTCCATGGCCTCAGCTAAGGTTACTCAGCCGTGCCAAACCAGTTGGTGTTTCAGCAACTCATTATGCATTGAGCGCTCTTTGAGCAAACGGAGAGAAACCACTTCTGCCCTCTGGTACAATCTTAGTGTTTTAGTCTTGTTAATTTTGGCACCACTGCACTGGTCTTTCCCTTCTCCCAAACATGTCACAGAGTTTTCTTTAAAGGAGATCTACAGAGAGATCCTAGTTACCTCAAACAAGCAGCTATTCAGCCGGTAGACAGACGGACTGAAATGCCAAGAGCTCTGCTGAACTGGCAGATATTTCCCTCTTGAGCTGCTGGCTGAACAATATTCAATCCTTTTCAAAATGATCTTTCAATGCATCACGAATGAGAAATGCAACAAGGGACGTTCATCTTAAAATATTAGAGCTTTTCATCTAGAAAATCGGAAACCTGCTAGCAAAATGTGGATATTTAAACAAGCTTCTGGGAACACCTAGTCCCTAGTTGCCCCCACTACCTCTGAGGATATCTGCCATAGATGCAGGTGAAACATCAGGAGAGAATGCTTCTGGAACATGGCCGTACAGCCCGAAAAACTTACAACAACCCAGTGATTCCGGCCATGAAATCCTTAGACAATACCTAGTTGTCCTGCTTAACAGTCACACAGCCTGCACTTTATCCCATGCCCTCTCTCCATTGTTATAGCTTTGCACTTATCCCATTCCCTTGTCTTACTGTCTATAGCAGTGGTTCTCAACCTGTGGGTCCCCAGATGTTTTGGCCTTCAACTCCCAGAAATCCTAACAGCTGGTAAACTGGCTGGGGTTTCTGGGAGTTGTAGGCCAAAACATCTGGGAACCCGCAGGTTGAGAACCACTGGTCTATAGCCTGGCTGGCATTGGAGAGGGATTGGCTGGTGACTGCTGGAAGACAGCCAATCCCAGCCAATCCCTTTCCAATGCAAGAAATACAGCTTAATGGTGTAACATTAGAAAATGTTGATTATTTCGCTACCTTGGCAGCCACCTATCACAAAAAGTCAACATTGACACTGAAATACAACACTGCCTGAGCTCTGTGAGTGCAGCTTTTTTCCGAATGAAGCAGAGAGTGTTTGAGGACCCGGACATCCGTAGGGATACCAAGGTGCTTGTTTATAAAGCTATTGTCCTCCCAACCCTGCTATATGCCTGTGAGACGTGGACTGTCTACAGACGTCATATGCAACTCCTGGAACGATTCCATCAGCGCTGCCTCCGGAAAATCCTGCAAATCTCTTGGGAAGACAAGCGGACAAACGTCAGTGTGCTGGAAGAAGCAAAGACCACCAGCATTGAAGTGAGGGTCCTCCGTCATCAACTCTGCTGGACCAGCCATGTTGTCTGGATGCCCTGCCACCGTCTCCCAAAGCAGTTGCTCAACTTTTAACTCAAGAATGGAAAACAGAATGTTGTTGGGCAGGAAAAGAGATTTAAAGATGGGCTCAAAGCCAACCTTAAAAACTGTGGCATAGTCACTGAGAACTGGAAAGCCCTGGCCCTTGAGCACTCCAGCTGGGGGTCAGCTGTGACCAGAAGTGCTGTAGAATTTGAAGAGACACGAAT